CTGTTAGCCCAGAGGGAAGCCTGAGAAGACCAGGTCATCTGGATAGAGCAGCAACAGGTAGTTGAGCCCGCCCTGCACGCTCCAGCAGTAGAGTGGGCGGGAGGCAGAGTTACGTGAGGGAGCGCGGAGTGAGCCAGCCTGGGTCCGACTCCAGCATCCGGCTCAGGACCTAGCGGGGTCGGCCAGGGCCCCAAGCCGGCGTTACACCTCCTCTAAGGAGGATAGACCGCGTTCAAAGGGAAGGACCGAGCGAGGCGACATGGCCTCACCATTCCTGCCTGCGGGGGCCACCACAGGGGACAGCGGTGGAGAGCTGAGCTCAGGGGACGACTCTGGTGATTTGGAATCCCCCCACAGCCCGGAGACCGAGGAGTCCAGGAGCCTAGCAGAGCTGTTTGAGAAGGCTGCTTCGCACCTCCAGGGCCTGATTCAGGTGGCCAGCCGGGAGCAGCTCTTGTACCTGTATGCCAGGTACAAACAGGTAATGTGGCAAGCGAGAGATACGGGACCTCGAAAACCTGATAGCAGACACGTGTGGTTAACAGCTAGGTGTAATGACATTTGTGTACGTGTGTTTTGTTTTTTGATCATCTGCTTGGGATCAGCATTATTCTGAACGTGGAAAAGATCTATCTGCTATCCTAGGAATGATACTCATGTAGCTGGACACTCAGTGACAGTTCTTCTTTGTCTTCTCCAACTTACTCGGTAACCTTGCACTTCACCAGCCTCCAAACCTTTACAAAATGAGGATAAGATTTACCATTCATTTGCTCGTCCCAAAGGGCCATATGGAAGTAAATATGATAATATTAATATAATATTTTTAGATTGAGGAGAATAATATATTTGAAATATATTGAAACAAATAAGATACAGTACAGAAAAAAACAAAGCACAGTATTACCTCTTTTATTGTGATTTTTTAAAAACGCTAACTTCAGTTATGTTGTGAATATATTCCTGTCTGTTCAATACAATCATAAAAATTTTAGAGCTACTGAATACCAGATGAACTAATCCTTTTCTTTTACAGAAAAGGGAACTTGAAGCCCAAAGAGAGTAGGTGACTTGCCTTGGGTCATAAAGATATATCATTCAGAACTGGACTGTAGCTCCTGACTCTGAGGCTCCAAACTTTACTTGGAGATAGAAAAACATATGAGTTATTGATATAAGACATTTAATGTAACATTCAAAGAATCATTGATTGGGTAGTAGTAGGAGGAATAATCCACAAATACTTGTTCAGCATCTTTTATGTGCAACATGGGTGAGTGTTATGCCTACAGAGAATAGAAAGAAGCAAAAACATCTTGACACTTGCCCTTAAGAGGTTTTTTTTTTTTTTTTTTTTTTT